TCTTCTCAACAGCAAAGTTTTTTTGGTCATTATCATGCTTTCTTCTCTTGCTATTTGCGTTTTTAGTAGTGTTTTCTTCCAATACCCATATAAAATTTCGTATTTTGCAGGTAAACATGAAGGTTCGGGTGAAACCTAAGGTGGGTTGTTAGCTTTGTTTGCAACTTTTGAATTCAATTTCAATTTCTAGCCTTTCATAAGTTTTTAGCACGAGGCAGGAGCAGCTGTCAATTATATCTCGCGAAGGGAAGCTTTGAAGAAGCTGCAATTGTCTTTGAAAGACTTTAGACGCCTTTGCATCCTTAAGGTATGTAACATTTCTCGAGTGTTAGTTAATTCTTTATAAATTTTTTTGCACTTTTGACATCCCTGCATAATTTAGGGCATTTATCCTCACGAGCCTGCACATAAGAAGAAGGTAAACAAAGGATCGACTGAGAATCGTGTGTGGTACTACAGAAAAGACATCAATTTTCTGGCGCATGAACCGATCATAAACAAGTTCAGAGAGCATAAAGTGAGTTTTCTTTTTTGGTGCGCTGAGGTTTGCGTAATTATCACAGCCTTTTTTCAGGTCTTTTTGAGGAGGTTGAACCACTACAAGGCAAAGAAAAACGAGTCTAAAGTGGAAAAATTATATGCGAATAAGCCAGAATACAACCTCGACAGAGTTGTCAAAGAACGGTAGATTTATTGACGTTCTTACATTGCTCATTTTCAAATAGACTGCATGGGCTTGGGACATTTTATGGTAAAGACAGTTGCTCATGCTTATTCTGTTGGATACTTCATTACGTTTTTTCTTGCAGTTTTCACGTTTTTTGGCCCTAACAGGCAGTTTTGGTGCATTATGTTCTACCTTTTCTCACTCGAAGCAGTTAAAATTGCGGGTTTTCGCGTCTTTATTGTTGCCAGGCATAAAAAACAATCATTCGTTCAGGTATCCCACTTTTGGTTCTGCTATTCGCGATCTCGATGATGCTTTGTGTCTCTGTTTCGCTTTTGCTACGTTGCCGCATACTCGTATTCTCAAAGAGGGACTCATCGACAGCTGTCGACGACTCACAGCGGAGTTCATGCATTATGTGATAGAAGCGCATGCCCTCAGGAATACTTTTATCTCGATAAAGGTGAGTCAGTACTTTATATTAACTCTACCTTCACAATACCTACTTGTTCAAAGGGCTTGC